CCAGAGGTAAAGGGTGGATTTGGGAGGGAAGTACAACAAGTCGAAGCATATATACAAGGCAGAAAATACGTTGAAAAAAAGTGTCTACAAACAAACTGCAACCTGATTGGCCAGACTGTTAGGTGTTAAGGTAGGGTAACCAATCAGGCGGAATCTTATAAATAACTTTGAAACAACTCAAATCTAGACCAGTTACTGCAGTGTCTCTTCAGCATCACAAGTTTAATGGTACCAAGGTGTGGTGAATCACTGTCTGAGCAATAGATACAAATAAAATACACTATTTTCATAAATCCTTTACGATCTCAATCTCATAGCAAAATCACAATTTGGAAAAACTGTGGCAACAAAGTGAAAACATGAAATTGTTTTTACCCCTTGACCCAACACATGACCCCTGACCTATAACCTCTCAATAAATAAGTTACAAGTACAATCAATTATATACAGAGGAAAAGTTGAATACAGGAGAGGGTCAGAGAGCAGCCATCTTGTTAAATTTGAATACATTTATAATTAAATAATTTAATGCATATTGGCAACATTGGATGATTGGGTGGAAACCTTGTATTGTTAGGAGTGACACAAAGACCAGGTGTACGAATGTTTTAGACTACCGATAGTCTAGTTTTGATAACAATATTAAAGCACCATTGATGTCGTACTGCATCATGTTTGGATTCCATACAAAGTAAAAATGTGTACAATGAGCGTAAAAAATAGTGGAAGTTTACAAAAAATGTACACATGCAACAGCATTACACTTCTAAATGAACGTTTTTATTCATGCAGAGATTTCGGTAGAAAATAGTAACTGCGATAGATTCTCCGGTCCTGCGCACTCCCTTTAGACAACCAATCTCATAAATAAACAGACAAGACACGGCTTGTCAAAGATAGATAAATAAATAATTCATGCATTTTCAGCCACTCCCAAGACACTGACCAGAATGATTTTCTGGATAATTGTTGTGCATATTATTAGCATTATAAATAGACAACTATTTTGTGCCTGCACGAAACATGTATTTTTTTTTCCAGTTCAATTAAACACTCATTTTGACTCACCAAAATGGCGTGTCAATAAATAATTTCACTGTAAAAACATACTTCTAGTAAAAAATGAGAAAAAAAAAATTCGGTGACAACGACAGAGAATTGTTGAATGGCATGACATTACAGAGGCAAGTAAAAAACAAAACAACCAATTTTTAGATGGACTGACCTTTGACCGGCAAAATGATCAGCAATTATGAATAAATAGCACTAAAATCGTACACGGCGAATTCGAAATTCGGCAAAGACTGGCCTCTTATCACATGACATAATTAAAATAACCGAAATGTGACAAAATTTTCTACAAGACTCTCTGTATTCCTTCCTGAATTCAACTCAGTATGATGATAGAAAGCGTAAGATGTCGTCTGTGATTATATCAATGCTAAAGATCCGGAAAGCGGTTGGGGTCCTCTTTGTAGTTTCGAGGGGTGTAGAATAGCGAAGAGGGGATTTCAAAATCATTCTGGAATTCTTGGAATGTGATCCTGGCCGTGATTGTCGGCAATACAGGAATGTCTGTAATAAAAAAAAAAGTCAAACAATTATTCAATTCATTTATAGAGGGTCGCCTGTTAACCTTATCACCACCAGTTCCCTCTTTTTCATCACAAATTCACAAAATAGTCCCGTTTATAGTCTGCACATTCCCTCAGAAGATTGTAAAATCTGAAAAAACTTCTGACCCACAGTTGCCATAGCAAAACAACCAAAAAAATGATTTTTTAATAGGTTCACACCAACTCACTGTATTTCCTCCTACAATTCTAGGATTAAACACCTCGGACATAGCTCATTCTACTCAGCTTGAGTGTGGGCACAAAGTCACTATTTGATTTTTTGATATATTTTTTCATTACTGAGAAATTTGACCTCAAAGTTGGGGCAACTTTTCACTGAGAACAGCTTTTTAACTTTTCTGTAATTTTTTTGGCTGGGCTGATTTTGTTCATATTTGGTAGGCAAGTCATACCTTCACTCTAGTTGGCTGGTAAATTTGCAAAATTTCATGGCCCACTGTTGCCATGGCAATAGCCCAAAAAGTTAATTTTTGAATACTTTCATGCCGAATGTATCACCTCTTACAAGTCTTGTAATATCAGTGTTCAAATAATCAAGCTTTTCATTTTGCGCACGGTGACCTGCGCACGGTGACCTGCACACGGTGACCTGCGCACCAACATTGTCACACTATATCAATGTAAGTCCCAACACAACATTGAATTCTGAATGAACTGTAAATGCTGCGTTCAATCAAAGAATAATTAATTGTTGAATAATAAAACAGATGATACTCACCAATTTTTACCGGAAAACCTGTGGGTAATTTCATTTCTACAAATTCTCGTAATTTATTAAAATGTTTAAATGGAGTAATAACCTCAAGCACATTCAGTAGTTCTTCTACTGTGAGTGGAAATTCATCACTCTGTAACAAAAAATAAATAGAGACAGTCACAACAACAAACATGTACATTCAAAATGTTTCATGAATATTGATTTCTCACCAACTGACCCAGTCGCTATATTTCAATAAGCTCACATAAATAATTTATACTCACCATGGCAACTGTAGCTTTCACTCCTTTCCTACTTTCTTTGTATAGAATCTGTCTTCCTAGAACAGGCGGACTGGAAAAACATAGTTAAACTAATGAAACCTTGCCCTTTAATGCATTGGTTGCATAGCAATCAGATTTAAAGGGTAAGTTGTCAATCCCTGGGACTGCTTAGTGCAACTATGGCAATTAATCTAAGGATTTATATAAGATTAGGGTATGCTAGGGTGTGATAATGCAATGAAGATCTTATGAGGACTGAAGTCACGCGAATTAAAAGATGATCACAAAATAAAAAAGAAAAATTTGCATTTCTAGAACTCCTGATGCAAATTAGTGAGTCTATAAAAAGAACTGATTCAGGTTCAACTCAAATCGTTTTTGGTAGTGTACTTGCTTATTCGGAAAGCTCATAGTATTTTTAGAATTTCGCATTGCGCAATCAAACATTTTCGAGCACCCACTGCATTCTGTACTTTCAATCGATATGCTCCAAATGAAATTTATTTCAAAAATTTCCAAATATGTTAAGTTAAGTAATACAAAAAGCCTAAAAAAAATACTGAGAGTTATCATAATCGGTGGAGGGTTGCACCCCACAAATGTGAGCGGTAAAGAGATGAACACCATTCATGGACAGGGGTTACAAATTATGAATGGCTGAACCGAGACAGTATTTATCAATCTCTTTGATGAGTTGTAACTTACTGTTTTGGTGGCGCATTGATGTAATTTTCCCATGACACCCCATTCTGCACTGGAGGTGGTAGTGATGTCCGTCTATGTGACTAGAAAAAAAACAAGATGTATGTGTTATAATAAACCTACAGGAGACAGGAGGTTCTATCAAAATGATCTATATATTCTCCATGTCTATTAC